CCAGTATAGCGCAGGAACAATCTCTGTTCTCTGTTCTATCATTCAGAGCTGTGTGTTTCTGGAAGCATGTATATTCCATATGCTATGCCCTCATTTTTTCTCGGTTACTTTTGTGAACCTAGCCCTTTCTTTCTGATTCCTTTTCTTTTGTTTCTATAATGCCTCTTTCTTTTGGCTTCTTTCTTTTCTTTTTTATTTAATAGTTTCTCATCATATATATCAATCCCAGTTCTCACAGCCTTTCCCCTCTTGCTCTCCCCACCTCCTCCCCCATCACACCCCATCCCAATCCTTGGAGAGGTTAAGGCTTCCCATGGGAAGTCAATGAAGCTGGCACTTTGAGACAGGACTAAGCTCCTCCTCAGCATATCTATACTGAGCAAGGTATCCTTCCAAAGAGAATGGGCTCCAAAAAACAACTGCAAGTATCCAGGATAAATTCTGATCCCATTGCCAGTGGCCTCACAAATTGCTCAAGCCCCACAACTTTCACCCACATTCAGAGGGCCCAGTCTGGTCCTCAGTGGTTCCCTAGTTGTCAGTGGAGAGTCAGTGATCTCCCACTAGCTCAGGTTATCTGTGTCTGTGGCTATCTGCAAGGTGAGCATGACCAATCCCTCCCCCCTCTCTTTGACTGGACTCTGGGAGCTTAGCCTAGTGATTAGCTGTGGGTCTCTGCATCTGCTTCCATCAGTTTCTGAATGGAGGTTCTATGAGGATATTTAGGAAATCATCAACCTGATACCAGGGAAGTCCAGTTCAGGTCCCCTACCACTAATGCTTAGCATCTTTGTTGGGGGGTCATGTTTTTGAATTCCTGGGAATTTCTAGTACCAGGTTTTCCGTTAGTCCCATAATGACTCCCTCTATCAAGATAAGTCTTTCCTTGTTCTCCCTCTCTGTCCTTCCTTAAACCCAATCATCCAATCCCCCATGTTCTCCTCTCCCATCCCCCCTCCATTTCTGCCTTCCCTTTTCCTTCCAACTACACTCCCGATTTTCTCAGGAGATCTTGTCTATTTCCCTTTCGCGGGGGAATCCATGTATTTCTCTCTTAGGGTTCTTCTTTATCCCTTGCTTCTCTGGTGATGAGGACTGTAGGCTGTTTATCCATTGCTTTGCATGTATTATCAACTTACGAGGGAGTACGTGCCATGTTTGTGCTTTTGGGTCTGGATTACATCACTCAGGATGTTTTTTTACTAGTTCTATTCATTTGCCTGCAAATTTCATGATATCATTGTTTTTTACTTCTGAGCAGTAATACATTGTGCAAATGCACCACATTTTCTTTATCTATTCTTTGGCTGAGGGACATCTAGGTGTTTCCACATTCTGGTTTTTGTGAATAATGCTGCTAATGATATTTCTGGGTCGTTTTTGTTTTGTTTTGGTTTTTCAAAACAGGGTTTTTCTGTGTAGCTTTGGAGCCTATCCTTGCACTCCCACATTAGACCAGGGTGGCCTCGAACTCACAGAAATCCGACTGCCTCTACCTCCCAAGTGCTGGGATTAAAGATGTATGCCACCACCACCCAGCATTGCTGGGTCTTGAGATAGATGGATTTGCAATTTTCTGAGAAACCTCAATATTGATTTCCAAAGCAGGTGTACATGTTTGCATTCCCACCACCAATGGGGGCATGCTCCCCTTTTTCCATATTTTCTCCAGAATAAGCTGTCATCAGTGTTTTTGTTCTTAGCCATTCCGTTAGGTGTTAAATGGTATCTCACAGTTATTTTGATTTGCATTTCTTGGATGGCTAAAGCTGTAGACCAATTCCTTAAGTGTCTTTTGGACATTTCAGATTCTTCTGCTCTCTAGATTGCCTCTTGGGGCTCAGAAAACAACATGAGTGTCAGAAAGTGTATCTCAGTGGCAAAGTGATTACTTTAGCAGTATGAGGCCTTGGGGTTTAAGCTCTAAGTATAAAACTAACAAGTACCTTAACAGGAAACACAAGTAAAAGAGAACCATGTACTGATAATATTTGTGCACATTTGTGTAAGTTTAGGAAGGAGACAGGGGTCAATATCCCATGTCTTTTTCTATTTTTCTCCAACTCATCTTTTCTGATGAGTTAAGAAGGCTCTCTCAGTGTCCATGGTGCTATTTATTTGTGTGGATTCTTGCCACTGAGTCCTGGGTGCCTCTCTCTACTTCACCATCACTTAGGCATGTGCACTCTTGCTTTGCCTTTTTATATGTGGGCACTGGGGATCAAACTCAGGCGCTCATATTTGTATAGCAAA